GAAGTGATAAACATATACAATAAATTCGTTGCTGTGGCTGTTAGACGAAAGATGAACGACTACACTTTCGAATAAGTGGAGGTTACTGAAATCGTAGTCAAATGTGTTCCAGTCGAGTTTCCGGTAGTTACTATTTTGGCTGGGAACTTTTAAAAATTAGCTAAGTACACCTTTCGTACATGCTTGTGAAGTAGTTCATCCAAAACAGAAGTGTTCTCACTACCGTTTCAATCTTCTTCTGCAGATACTGTTAACAAATATGTTGCACTCATACTAAGTATCGTACCGACAAGTCATACAATGATACCAGAACCATGCGAATTATTCTTCAGGCTCTTACCTACCCATCTAACAAGATTGGTAGATTGATTATTTGTGTAAGAAGCCCATACATCGTCGTGAAGTACAGCTATAGCAGTAGTAAGGAGTACCTGATTCTAGCAGTCCTGTCGAAAAATGCGAAGTGCTTACTATACAAGCTGCATCAGAATGATGAAAACTCTGTGGCAATTTTGTACGTTGTGGCAGTTCTTCATAAATTTACAGGTCATTGGATTGTCAAAGATCATTGGTGGTGATGTCTGAAATTCCACAAAAGGTCGTTTAGTGATAAGTCTTGCTGGTGGAACACTATACTCGGATCCTGAGCTAGTCTTGTTAACTCCAAGCTAGAACTACACAGCGACTTGAACACAAGAGAAAAGGCGCAAAATATACGAGAAGCAATTTACTCCAAAGGTTAATTTATGTGCAAAAAATATAGGGCTTTTATAGTATTTTAGAAATCCTTGGGTTTTCCTGAAAATTCTAGAATACTATTAAACATTGCTGCAGTGTAGTAATCAGCCAATCAGAACATCTACATGTGACTTTTCATTTTCGCGATGTTTCTAGCAAAACGTCTAGTCAAACTGTGATTGGAAAAAACGCTTCTTAATGTTTCCTGGGCTTGTCATATCTATTGCAAAAAGTTTTCCGGAGAGTAACGTTTCATCCCTGTTTGTGGGACACTGCGAACGAAAGTTCAACTTCCACTGAATGAACGCACCAAATAGGTAATCGCAATTGAAAACATTATAGAAATTCAAATGATTCGCAAAAAATGCATGTATAACCTTTCGTTGTTATAATATACATTTTAATTTATAATTCATCAATGTTTAAACTGGGGCAATGCTTACACACAGCATTTTTTATTGGGAATTCCGGCAAAATATGGCTACTTCGATTAAGTGAATAAACTGTGGTTGCCTGTTCACACTGAATTGTCTTTCGATAATCATCCACTTAGTTCCGTGGAAAACATTTGCACCAGCTAGGTGTGTCTACGATAACAAACGTGTTGATATTTAGAAAAATGGCGTATTTGTTTGAGAATAACATTAAATTCGCGTAATTGTCTGAAGAAAATACGAGGTGCTCCTCATTTAACTCCATATGATTTCCGATGAATAAGAAAACTTTGAAGTTTTCCCCAGAGCACTCAGAGGTTTTGGGGTTTTGCCAGTGAATATAAGTAGATTTTCAAAGTTTTTTGAAGATTCTGGCGAAAATTTTAAGTAATATCGGAGAAGACTGACAATTTAACCAGAATAACACTAAATTTGAAGAAAATACTCCAGACTAAGGGACATTTTTGTGTCTTTGTAGCATTTTCTAAAAACTCCCCCAAAATTGACAAAACGTTTACCAGTAATCGGGGACTGAGAGGTTTAATTTCAATAAACATAAATCGGGGTCGCGAAATTGATCGTCGTTCAATCTGACTGATCCTAATTTGATGGGTAGGCTACCTGTCGTATCTTGCTTTTGGGGTTCAGTACGGGCTTATGATTGATAAGTCTTGTAACTGAACGCTAGATTTGGCTCATAAGCTCTTCGTGTAACTCCCTGTTCAAATCTACACGGCAACCTGAACACGAGAGAAAGGGCAAGAAATGTGGAAGAAAACGCTTCACCGGAAAGGCTCTTTCGTTATCTTCAAGCACTGGTAAAGGATATCAAATAGGGATGACTGTTCTCCAAATATTTGAGACAGGGTTTTAACTGTTTCATCACAACTAAAGTCTCGTAGGTTCTTCGGAAGAATAAAGTCGCTATAGCATTCATGTTCCGTCATCCCAAGTTTCTTTAGAAGTATTCTGACTTTTGAGTTGTCATCCAGTCTGCAGAGATCAATATGGAACGAATCCTCATGCTTCTTAATCCAAGAGTCAAAAGTAACACCTGATACACCATCAAAATTAAATTCATGGATTGCGTTAGTGACTGAATCAGTTTGGGATACTTTTGATTCACTAGAAGTAGGGTTTTGCTGGGATATGCACAATTTATGCATAAGGGCTTCCATGATTCTGATTTGAGATTGTTCAAACGGCTTCTCTTGACGCTCCATATAAGCTTCTAGGTGCTCCAAAGAAATATTCATTGTAGTTTTCTCCGTCGTCTGTGACATTCCAGCGTGTTCCGATTGGATGAAATTCTTCAGCTCCCCTGGGGCCTCTGAGGGCTCCGCTGTAGTTCTAGTGAGCCGTCCCAACATGATATTCACGGATATAGAAACTAAAACTATCGGGCTCCTCAGATACGATTGATTCTCTTTGGAATCGGCAACGTTTATTTTCACACAACACATCAAAACCCTGGCTGACAACACTGAAAGGAGACAGACTACAGGGAACTTTATATTCGAGGCAGAACAAGCAACACAAAACGAATTGGTGTTGTTGTTGTCACAGTAACAAAATATGGCCCTCGGGCAAAAAAGAAATTTGATGAAATAAGAACAGCGATAAACAGTCCATTGCGAAAATCATGTGAGAAATCTAATTAGGAGTGAATGTGTGAGTGGCTATCGTTCCTGCAGAGGTTTTAGCAATTTTAATAAAATTTGATTAGTCTTGTGGTCGTTTAGCTCTCTCCCACTCTCATAAGATAATCCAATATAAGGTAAGGCGTCAGTGGTGGGATGATTAAATGAAAATGTCCAAGGGTTTTCTTTCTTCCAAGCTCTTGTTCTGGTGTGCCGCCTATGAGGGGTAACAAGCGTAAGTGAGTAAGCTCTTGTTGTCTGCAGATTAATCTAACAATTGAAGAAAGATACAATGAAGGCGATGTACCACTGCTTCTTATGTCATAACGTCAAAAAAGAAAAAAAATTCAGGCCTGCCTCGATGTGGTACGATACAGATCCATTCTCACTGTGATTCACCATAGAGAGAAAGGTGTGGGATACTTTGACTTTTACTCGGGGTTTTAGGAAGCCTAATGCCAAGACTGTCTTTACGATGCACCTGTGAGCAGAGTTTTAAAAGTTTCTGTTGTCCAGTTCCTATACTTTACGAAGAATAATGGGAAGGTATGAGTTACACAAAATGACTACACCAATACGGTTGTGCCTCGCCATACCGATTAATTCTTCCATCATTCACCATCACTGACCTACTCTAAATGTCACATGTTGAAAGCAAATCTCAAAAATTACACGTTCTTTAAAACAATTAGTGCTTTTTATAAATTTCGATATATTAACTTCGTTTTCACACTGCCCTATCGAAATTATAAGTTCGTGGTGCGGTTGGAAAACAATACCAATACACTACCACTAAAGGTCAAATGTAGCAATCCAAATAATTCAGCTTAACCGAATAGAATACCAGAAGCTTGTCGTTTGTAAACATATGTCAACCAAATGTCAGACAGCATATGGTTGTCCATCTGTGTTGTTATGAACGATGTGGTACAACATAACCAGAAAATGTACAATGAAAAACGTCGATTCTACTGTATCCGTCGTCAGCGTTTCATCTTTTCTAGTCATCCTGAAGAAGAACAAACTAGAATTTGAGTGCATGTTGACATATATCTATATATATGCACAAACAATCAAAATGTGCAAAAAACCGGTGCATAAGCGTATATATGTCATGCGACGGTGGGAAAAGTTGAACACTGAAACAGGTTTTTTGAAACTTTTGTAAAAGCATAGGTACATGTACATAAGAATATTAAAAAGCACTTTTTAAGTTCTTGCTTTTGACACAAAAATAAAAAAATGGAAGTGCAATTAAGCAGTTGTAAGAAAAGAAAACGAGACAAAACAAAAACTTACATAATTCCTTAAGTTCTGTAGTTGTTTAGGTTTTCTGGAGAATCTATGGTTTTTCCAGAGTGAGTTGTTCTAGGGTGGTTATTAAATATCAGATAAGTTCCGTCATGGTCGTCAACTATCAGGGACTGCATCGTAGTTAGGAGGCTTGCGTCTTTTGATTGTTTAGTAGGAAAGTCAACATAGAAAAGGTTTTCTTCAACGTAAGCGGTTTAAAACGCTGACATTATGGATAGTTTCATGCTTAACGATGGTGAAGTACTTAGGTTCACAATAAAGGACTTTCAAGGGTCCTTAGTATGCAGCACTTGACAGCGATTGAGTTTCAGGGTTTGTGTAGGGTCTTACAATGTCTCATTTTTAAGATAGAGCTGGGACAATTAAGACAAATTTCCCACAGAATAATAAGTATTTTATTCCAATGACTTGGACGCTTTACCAGAACAAGTATTATCAGCCCCATCACTGATCCTCAAGGAAAAGCTGGACTTTGACGGGAAAACGGGCTTTGAGGATTAATACAAGTCCACCGACCAACTATCCTTATTACTAGGGACTAAGTTAACTTGAGAATTTTAGATGTCCGAAAATGAATTTTTTTACATATACATCAATTCTTCAGTGTTTTGTAAATTACAAGACGAACGCTTTCGGAAATTATTAAAATCTCTCAGTATTTTAAAGCTAAAAGAAATTTGTTTTTATGCACCACATATTACTTTTTTTACTTATAGAGTCTGTTACATCTTCAAAAGTTCTCTTCGTTATTTGGAATCCAGGGCATTTGCATTACACTTATTTGATGCTTAATCCAGAAGTTTAACACTTGATGATAAGACCTTCTTGATAAATTATTGATTCATTTGGATTCAAAAGTATCTTATATGTGACAATGCTATGCCAGAAAAATCCAGGTAGAAAAAGATTAAGACCTTCAGATGACATTTCAGGAATTTGTATTTTGATGATCTTATACATTTTGCAGGTTAGTTTATAGTGGGTATTTCGGTATCTTTTTGCCCTTTTGTACACTGTTATTATCTGTATTTTTAATGGGCCTGGATATATATACAACAGTTCAATGTTGAACTGTTTCAAGTATATACATATAATGATATCAACAGAGCTGTTGTTAAAATCGAAACATCTTTAATTCAGAGAATTAGGCCTAGAAAACATTTCATTTAAGATGCTAGGTTGAACTTTTGTTTGTTAACAAGGAGCAGGCATATCAATGTTAGGAATTTCAGAATTTCAGACCATTCTCCTTATTATCCAAACGCTAAACAATTATCTGCTCAAACTGACCTCGCAGTGTAAACCGTGAATTGGCATCAGAAAAAGGTTTGCCACAGGCATTTAGATACTGATCTTACCTTTTACAATTTTTGTCATTATGGTTTCGAAATGCATCTATTATCGGTTAACAAGAATTAGGTCATTTTTAAATGATTCCTGATTGTTTTGCCGGTTAATGTGCCTCTTTGTCAAATCAGCGAACAGGATAGGCCATTCATTTTTAACTGCGATACAAATTTATCACATAATAAAAACACTGCAGACTGTTTGGTTGCATTTTGTATGATTGCTGTTGGTTTACGTAAACCGTGTATTTTTGTCTGCGTCATAGTCTTATTTGGTATACAGTCTAGTCTCTGACAATTTAAAATGTCATATATAAAGTAGTCATCACTTATCGTCAGCATTTGGGTGTCAAATGTTGACCTGATAGAGAAATATTAGTAGCAGATTTACAGAAAGTTTTACTTTGTTGCCTAATGAGTTTTAATAAAGATAAAGAATGTGTTTGTAAAAATAACATAACATAGGTCATAACTAATGATAAAAGTATTTTTGTAGTTGAAACAAAGTGGTGAATATGAATGCTGAATTGGGTTTAAACCCGTAAGTAAACATATACAAAGTAGATGGGAGTTTATAGGAAGAAACGATCACAAAAATTACTTACAAACCAAAATTTTAAAATCTTTTCGTGTATTTGACCACAAGGCTTGGTTCTTGGTTACAATTGCCTTCACCAACACTTCAGGCCGTCTCACTTGTTAGTCGGTAAAACCCAAGTAACTGATACAAATAGTTAGATCAGTCGCTACAAGAGAATTTCCTGTGATGTTACAGATACGAAGGCTGATATTACCTTCCGGTCGCTCACACTGCAGAAAGGTTTGTTTTCTTGGGCTACCTTAAAATTAAAATGAACTGGTAGCAGTCGTTTCAAACTGAAACTATGGTGGCAGAGCCTAAAACATAATTTTTTGAGGCCGATCACACATTAGCTTTTCGTGAGAGGTTTGTAATTCGTTAGTTTCGTACTTCAAGAAGCCTTACTGTCGGAGACAGAGTTCGGAAGGGCTATATAAAGTGTGATGTCTTAAGAGCCGAATGTTCTTAACTCCTTTTTTGTGCGTGGATAACACTTCTGTAGCTACTAGTTGTCAGAGAAAAACGTTTTACTGTCATTACACCTCTGTACAGCTGGTTGTACAACTTCGTCTTCGAACCTCGCGTAACTGATTTCGGTCCCACAGTTTCTCAGCCGGTCTGCTTGGGATTGTTGGACCTGAAGACAAAATTGTCTCAACTGACCTAGCGCGATCGGGTCATTACGATATTTAAGCCTGAAAGCCATGTAAATGTATCAGTTTCGGTCAGAATATCATGGATATAATTATTTTGTTATGTAAAAGCTTTACGTATTTATCGAAGCTGTCAACAAATGTGGGGTAAATGTTTATGGAGCCCTCGTCAACGTAGTTGTGATTATATTGCTTTGTACAAGATGAACACATTATTCGATCCATTAACATTTACTAGAAAAATAGAGTGTCTTGATTGTCAGTATAAGTGGTTAGTGCTTCGAACACCATGAAACAAAATTCTGTTGATTACATTTGATAGAAGTAAGATGAGCAAAAAGGCATCATTCATCATATTCATTGTTAAATGTTCCCATTTCATCAACAATTTAAAGAGAACTCCTTGCCTTCAACGTTTAGCAGTAAGAAAAAGGCTCTTTAATAAGCATGACAAAATATCAAACAACAATGCGCATAAGTTAAAGAAAGTGAGATCTATAACGTTTAAAGAGTAAGATAAGCTAACTAAATTTCATCACCCTTTCTTCCATTACATACAAGTTAATAAGTTTTAATCACATTAATCTTTAATGTTTTTTAAAATCCGTGAAAGTCATCTATTGTTGGTCGACAATTTGTTTTGTAACATTGTGTTAATAACTGCAAATAATTAAACTTATTAGTTTGTACATGGCTGAAGAGAAGATAACTAAATACAACGAATTCATCGTATTCTGAAAATATCATTGTCCTTACTACGGTTAAGATCGTGTGGGGCACCAAATTACACGAATTACTCATTATGTACGCAAGTTAGTTGGTTATGGTGATTACATGCCATAAGACATCAAGTCACGTACACCTACTTGTGGTATCGTTTCCCATGTTGTGTGAAGTAATCTAATCAGCTACTAAATATTTATCTGACTATTCGTCTTAAGATTACACTTTTCTTCCTTTAGATTTCAATTGAACTTTTCAAGAAAGTTGACTTTTAAAGGGTATCCTTTAAAATTAAAGTACTACTTCTGTGATATAAAGTATCTGATAAGTGTCATCCAATATATGATAAATAAAAAACAAAAAAAACATACAACGGCAAATATTTTCCGAAATCGATTGAAATTAACTATGTTGCACTGGAACCTATGATTATTAGTAAGGAGACAGTGGCTGACCTCTTATTGATTTTAGTCACTTATTTGACAATTCACCCATTAAACTGTGTTTTTCTGGGTGGAACTAAGAATAATTTAGATAGCATTACTAGCTTTAATATAATCAATTCATCTGCTCAGTGTTTTATTGTATATAATCAACAATTTATGATCACGTATCTATTTTCTGTCTCAATCCATTTTAGTTATTATTATTATTATCTAATATTTAGTCCCAGTAAATTTGCTGTTATTATCAATCGTCGGGTGTTGCTACGGTATCATAACGCTTGATTATGATGAACTAACATACTATTATACCGTTTTGCCAATTATATCTATTCTCTCTGCCAATGTTTATTCAGACTAAATGAAAAAAGCGGTGAACAGAATATTGTTTTTGATTGTTAGGTCAAGTGAACTTTCAAATGAATCCAAAATTTGTCAAAGCATGTATTCGTCACAAATTTGGCAGTAAAAGTTCAAATGACTGTTTCGTTTATTTTGTATTGTTGTCAAACATCCATCACATCAACCACTTCATTTTAAACCAATTTGCGACTTGCAATCATGGCTAATATTCCTTACCCTGTTATTTAATCTTTAGAAAGTACGCTTTTGTTAATAAAAACTGTAAATATCTTAACTCATTCATAGAATACATGGAGTTAAGTTGTTTTCTACCCAATCATTAACCAGTCTTTAAATCCTTAGTTGTTTTTAATTTGAAATATTGCTGTTAATTAGAATACATATCATATAATTTCTAATTTACTTGTCAAGTAGCTTTGTGATTTCGGTCCCGAATACGAAAGCGTCAAGGTAATAGCCATATCATTATCTTCACCATTTAATTTGAAATTGTTAGTTAGATAAGTTATATTTCTTTCAGTGTAATTAAATGTCAGACAATATCTCTATACTCATTCAAACCATTACATCACATTTTTAGAAAACAGTAAATTTTGTGTAATAGTCGGTTGAGTAGTATTAAATATACGTATTTTTAACCATTATGTAGTTATTTTACTGCTGAAAGTTGTGAATCCCTGGGTGTAACACCATACATTATATGTATATCATTCAATTTCGTTTGTGTTAAGATTATTTATAACATCGGCTAATTAATCGGATTTTGTAACCATTTTATGTGTATGATAAGCAAAGATGGATAGTGGCTAGCAGTGGAATCCAGGACGCGCGTTTCGTCCTATTTGGGACTCGTCAACTGGATAACGCGATGGCGTTTGAAGCGAGGGTACTGGGTTCGAGTCCCAGAGTGAACATCAACTCTGAGATGCAGGTACATCCAGCTGACGAGTCACAAATAGGACGAAACGCGCGTCCTGGATTCCACTGCTAGCCACTATCTACCTTTGCTTATCATGCTTGTGAATCAAGGCTATATCGAGGCAATACGCACAGTATGCACATATGCTAATTAGAGACTGACCAGTTGCAGTCCTAAGAAATCGATGGGGAGATTCAAACAAACAATACTAAGTGCATTTTATGTGTAGTTTCAAGGTATTCATATCACGAACTGATATCACGTTTAATTTTTTTTTAAATGCAAAATTTTGTCTGAAATTTTTTCCATAATGCCAGTCTTATTGTTACTACTATTTTAAGCTCAGTTTTATCTTTAACAAGACATTTCTAATACATTGACTGATATTAAAAAACATCATGTTTTATACACTGAATGCAATATATTTTATCTAAAGCCGAATTTATTGGTAAATGAAACCTGAGGAAAGGGTCACTTCCTTATTGAACTAAGACATGAGTATTTAGTTAGTAAAATGTTGGTTTGTACTGTGTATGACTAATTAAAAGTTTTATTGAGATTGGAAGAATACTCTGGTCACACAATTTTCTTTATACACGTGAAATAGTGGACATTTCTTGCAAGAGTGCACAAATACGTTTTATTACCTTCGATCATTACTTCAGCAGCTGAATATCCATATTTATATTAGAAATCCTATCTTTATAGAAGTTTATGTATACTTTCAGTTCAGTTGAGAACCTCTCTCACCTAGGAATTTCATGGTTTTGAAGAGCACAATGCTAGATTTTACTACCATGTAGTTTTTTCTTGTTATGATTTTGTGCAATATTTCGAACTAAAGTATCAAAAAGTATACGACTATAATACATTTCAATGGAACTATGTAATAGGTAAGTATAAGATTACCAAACTTTTGTTAAGGTATATTCATCCTACT